AGCCACGAGATCCGCACGCCGATGACGTCGATCCTGGGCTACGCCGAGCTGCTCGAAGAGAAAGAGCAGGACCCCGAGAAGCTCCAGTTCCTCTCGATCATCCGCCAGAACGGCGCGTTCCTGCTGGAGATCATCAACGACATCCTCGACCTCTCGAAGATCGAAGCGGGCAAGCTCGAAATCACCCCCGAGCGTTTTGAGCTCGCCCCCTTCGTGCACGAGATTCACTCCCTGATGCAGGTCCGCGCCGCGGAGAGCGGCGTCCGCTTCGGCGTCGAGTTCGAGGGCCCCGTGCCGGAAACGCTCCGCAGCGACCCCAAGCGGCTCCGGCAGGTGCTGGTGAATCTCGTCGGCAATGCGCTCAAGTTCACGAAGGACGGCGCCGTTCGATTGGTCGTGAGCCACCGCGGCAACCAGGTCGTCTTCGACGTGATCGACACCGGCATCGGCATGACGGAGGAACAGGTCGCCCAACTCTTCCAGCCGTTCCACCAGGCCGACGCGTCGGTCACGCGGCGCTTCGGGGGCACGGGCCTCGGCCTCGCCATCAGCCATCGCTTGGCCTTGATGCTCGGCGGCGAGATCTCTGTCGTCAGCGAGGCGGGCGCTGGCAGCACCTTTACGCTCAAGCTCGACGCCGGCCCTTCGCCGATGCGGTCGGCTATCCCGGGACCGACCGATAACGGCGACCAGCCGTCGGTGCGTCTGAAGAAGGCTTGCCGGTTGCTCGTCGTCGACGACCGCCGCGACATCCGCTTCCTGGCGGGTCGCATCCTCTCCGGCGCCGGCGCCGAGGTCGAGTACGCCGAGAACGGCTACGAGGCCGTCCAGCTGGTCGAGAGCCAACTGGCGACGCAAACGCAGCCCGACCTGGTGCTGCTCGACATGCAGATGCCAACGATGGATGGCTACCAAGCCGCGGCCGAACTTCGCTCGATGGGCTACAAGAAGCCGATCATCGCGCTCACTGCCGACGCCATGCAAGGCGACATGGACCGCTGTCTCAGCAGCGGCTGCAACGCCTACCTGAGCAAGCCGATCGAGACGGAGAAGATGCTGCGGATGATCAACGAGCACCTGTCGCCCAACGGCAACGCTTGATGAGCCGTGGGCGCTAGCCGCGGGTGGCGTCAAAGGAAAGCGTCCCGCTAGCAAACGTCTGAGCCGCGGGCGGTAGCCCTCGGAGCCGCAGGACCAATAGCGTAGCAACATCCCCTCCGCGACAACTTCGACGGCTATCACTCACGGCTCAGACGCAAGGGACTGGGTGCTTCTTCGTGCATTTCGAGCCCTCCTCTCTCGGGTTAGTCGAAAGCGCCAGTTGGTGCTAGTGAATCGGCAGCGGGCACTCGGCGGCCGTTCTGGTTGGTTGGCGCCCCAGCTGGGCAACGTGTCGCCACCTCGCGTCGCAATCTTGTCTCGGGAATTTTTTCATCTCACTTTCACAAGGCCGCGCATCTCCTACTTGCGCAGGTAGAAACTCGCACGAGGGGGCAAAGATCGACAACCAATTGCTTGACGAAACGCCTGCGGGGGCGCGGGCTTTGCACGAGGCGAATCTCGTCTTGCGGGAGAGCAGCGGCACAAGCCGTGGCGGATGTTCTCTCCCCCTCTTGATCGAGCGAGTCCTTCGCCGATTGTTAACGAACCCCGAAATGGAGTTTAGAATGCTGACACGAATTGCACTAACCATGGCAGCCGGTTTGATCCTGCCAGCCGCCGTCGGGGCGGGGCCTCTCAATCCGAAAGTCGTATCGGCCGACGCGAAGTGGGTCGCTCACGTCGATTTCGCCGCCTTGAACGACACGAAGGCCGTGCGCGAGGTCCGCGACATTTGGCCCAAGAAGACCGAGAAGGCCCGCGAATGGATGCAGGAAAACTACGGCATCGACACACGGGAGGACTTCGAGAGCGCCACGGCCTACGGCAGCAGTTACGGCAAAGGCGACTGCGTCGTCGTCCTGAAGTCCGACTACAGCGAGGACAAGGTTCAT